GTGGAGTGGGGAATGAGAGAGAAGGGGATTGGGTGGGGGGAGGGGATGTGCCTCTTGAGCAAGGAGGGAAAGGTGGGGTGGAATACTTACCTGCATTAAGGACTTTAAAAAGTCCCTGACCACTGCTCCCATGATATGGTCTGCCCACCCTGGGGGGGTGAGAGGGAGAGGCTGGAAGCAGAAGGTGCAGCCACTCTCACCCACAGAGGGTGTAGTTAGTTGCTGCTCCTACACCCACTTTTGCAAAGTCCTGAATCTACTTATGGCTGGAGGTAATGTTGGCACCAGTGGCGATGTGTAGGGGGTGCATGTGCACCCCCTGAAAGTGCTGGTGTACCCCTTCACCAGCTGCGCTCTCTGCTTAGGGGATGGGCAGGGAGGGCAGGTAGGAGTGTCAGTACACCCCCTGCAAGCACTGGCTGGGGAGTGCGAACATAGCACCGCAGCCACTTTCAGGAACGGTGTGGCCACTTCCTGGTTGATGACATTGGCCACGGGAGGATCCTGCCCCCTCCCCCCAGTTGGGGACCCATCCCCCGCCAGTCACTGACTGGTCACTTGGGGGGGCACGTGCCCCCCCCCCAAGGTGGCACCAGTCGCCCATGGTTGGCACATTGTTCCTTGTGTGCTGTTGGCTAGAGCACCTGCTTTGCTTTCACCAAGTCAGTCTATTGGATCCTAGACTTCAATGGGCCTTGACTTTGACTCTCCACGACAATATGCATTGTATCAGAAAAGTGCTTACAGCTATGTTGCTGACACACCATGTCACATAAAGGCCATGCTCATCTTGGGTGCTTCTTTTCCATATTTTGGTTAGACTGGCAAATATTTCCAGCGGAAGAGAGCATCTGACCTACATTAAAAACACAAACCTTCCCCATGAATGTTGGTTATGGGGTTACAGTGCCGAAAGAAAACATAGGAAACCTGTGGGTAGCTTTGCTTTTCAGTTTGCATATGTTTGTAACATTTTCCATATTTGGTATTGCCTTCCCTTGTGAGTGATCAAAATAATCTCTCTTGGATATGTGCATTGTGTCAGTGAGGAAAAAGGTCTCCATGAACTTGATTATGGTTTCCTTTTTAATTCTCTATAAAATGTAGAGCCTTAGTTCTGATTAACAGGCAAGAGAAAGGAAAGCAAACAAATCAGTGCTTGAATTCAGATGAAATTCACTCTTGATCAGAAAGCCAACACCTAGCCTATGCACCCTTGGTCCCATATAAAACCTATTTTAATAGGTTGAATTCTGAACAATAAAAACAAACTGAAAAATCAAGGTTATAAATGAAACTGTGCTGTGCACTGTTGTTTTATTGTTTCATGTACTACAGCATTAGAATTAAAAGGGGGGAAAAGATCATCTGCTGTGAAATTCAATAACCCTTTAAGTTTTAATCAAAGGAGGTTCTTTAATAGGCTTTAAGGGAGCAGAGAGCTTTGCCTGTCCTTTTCAGAAATGTATTTGGGATTAAGCTAGGGGGTTGCCATTTGATTGCTTTCGTTGGGGTTGCACTATTCTATTCTAGTTCTTAAACTTCCCTCCTCACTAATAGCTGGACTCTCCTGACTGTTTTATTTAACTAACTAGCTTGAAATAAAAAGTAGTGACTAGGGAAATAGTGCCCTGCTCATTTCAGGAGTAGACTAATTTCTGTTTTCAGGGAAAACTACAGTGTCCATTTGTTTTGTAGATTTCATAGACATTCGGGCTGGAAGGGACGTCAGGAGATCATTGAGTCCAGCCCCCTGCCCAAGGGGCAGGAAGTCAGCTGGGGTCAAAGGATCCCAGCAAGATAAACATCCAAATGTCTCTTAAAGGAGTCCAGAGTAGGTGCTTGCACCACCTCTGGCGGCAGTCTGGTCCAGGCCTTGGGGGCTCAGACAGTAAAGAAGTTCTTCCTTATGTCCAGAGTGAAATAGTTTTGGAGGAGTTTGTGACCATTTGACCTTGTCACCCTTTGGGGTGCTCTGGTGAACATGTGTTCCCCCAGATTCTGATGTACACCCCTTATGTACTTATAGGCAGCCACCCGGTCCTCCCTGAGCTTGTGCTTTTCCAGGCTGAAGAGTCCCATGGCTCTTAGCCTCTCGTCATAAGGCCTGTTCTCCTGCCCTCTGCTTATGCATGTGGCTCTCCTCTGGACTCTCTCAAGCTTCTCCACATCCTTCTTGAATTGTGGAGCCCAAAACTGGACGCAGTACTCCAGCTGCGGCCTCACCAAGGCCGAGTACAGTGGGAGGATGACATCCTGGGATTTGCTTGAGAAGCATCTATGGGTGCAAGCCAGAGTTTTACTTGCTTTACCAGCTATAACATTGCATTGGTGGCTCATATTTATCTTCTGGTCAGTGATGACCCCCAAGTCCCTTTCAGCTGTGGTGCAGTGTAGCACTGCCAAGCCTATAAGCATGCTGAGGGTTTTTCTTCCCAAGGTGGAGTACCTTGCATTTTTCAGTGTTGAATGCCATCAGGTTTTTGTCCGCCCATTTTCTGAGCCTGTCAAGGTTGGCCTGGATCACCATTCTGTCCTCGGGTGTGAATACTTTACCCCGAAGTTTGGTGTCATCGGCGAATTTGGCCAGTCTGCTTCTGATACCAATGTCCACAACATTAGTAAAGATGTTAAGGAGTATAGGCCCAAGGACAGAACCTTGGGGGACCCCACTGGTCACGGCACACCACGATGATTTACTTCCATTGACTACTACTCTCTGGGTCCAACCTCAGAGCCAGTTCCCCAGTCATTGGACTGTGATGTAGCTGAGGCTGCAGTTGGCAAATTTTTCTATGAGATGATCATGGGATACCAGATCAAAGGCTTTTTTAAAATCAAGATATATGACATCAATCTCTCCTCCCTTGTCCAGGTGATATGTCACCTCGTCATAGAAGGAGATGAGATTGATCAGGCAAGACCTACCTGCAACAAACCCATTCTGGCTATCCCTCAGGATGTTGCCATCGGCCAATTTGTCAAAAATGGTCTCTTTGATAATTTTTTCCCAAGATCTTCCCCAGAATAGAGGTCAGGCTGATGGGCCTGTAGTTCCCCAGATCTACTTTCCACCCTTTCTTGAAGATAGGCACCACACTGGCCTTCTTCCAATCTTTGGGCACTTTGCCTGAGTGCCTCGAGTTCTCGAAGATCCATGCCAGTGGCTGAGCTATGATGCTTGCCAACTATGATGCTTGCCTTAAGTACCCTGGAGTATAAACTGTCAGGGTCAGCTGACTTGAAGGTGTCCAGCTTCTCAAGGTGTTCTTTCACATGGTTTACATTGATGAAGGGTAACATTTCTCCCTCACCCTGGCCGTCCCATACCACATTGAGCAGGGCCATCCCCTGGGGTTGGTGAAAAACCGACGCAAAATACCCATTAAGCAAGTTGGCTTTTTCCTGGGCATTGGTTGTCAGTTGTCCCATATGGTAGAGCAGGGGTCCAATATTACCCTTGCTTTCCCTCTGGCTCCCCACATGTCTAAAAAAGGACTTTTTATTGTCTTTGATACATGTAGCCAGTTGGAGTTCAGTTGCGGCCTTGGCTTTCCTGGTTTGCTCCCTACAGGTTTGACCAGTGCAGAATACTCCTTCTTTGGGGTGGTTCCAGTCTTCCATCCTTTATAGGTCTTTCTTTTTAGATGCAGGAGGTCCACAAGTTCCCTGCAGAGCCAAGGGGATTGCTGTGCCCTTTTGTTGCCTTTCCTCCAGGATGGGATAGACATTGCTTGTGCTTCCAGGATTTCTCCCTTGAGGAGCAACCACTCATCCTGAATTCCCCTCCCCTTCAGATTGTGGTCCCTTAGGGCCTCGCCAACAAGCCTTCTGAGCTTGTCAAAGTCAGGTTTCCTGAAGTCAAGGACTTCTGCATTGCTGACTGACTTGCCAGCTTTACGGCGGATGGTGAAGGTGATCAGCTCATGG